AGTACAAGGGGAAAGTACGAACTGACTCGGAATTGTGGAACTGAAGACCAGGTTTATCGACAAGTGCGAAGGGTGTCGACAAGTGCGAACTAACTAGCAGTTCTGTAGACAAGACAACAATGGAAACCCGCAGCACCGGGGGAAAGTACGAACTAGCTTGGAATTGTGGAACCGAAGACCTGAAAGCCGCACGAGATGGGTTATCAACTCCTCCAGCAGTGTTGCTCAAAAAGTGCGAACTAACTCGCATTTGTGGAAATAAAGAACTGCCTTTAATGACATATTTGTCTCTCTCTCTCTCTCTCTCTCTCTCTCTCTATATATATATATATATATATATATATATATATATATATATATTTGACGATATAGATGTATATATATATATATGTATATCAGGTCGGCGATCTCACAAGGGACAGGTGAGCGAAAATCGGGAATTGATTCGTGGTTCGCCATGTGCAGCGATGACCACAAGTTGCGAAGAGGATCGAGCAGCTTTATACGAACGTTATCGTGGCAATGGCGAAAGGTAATCGAGCTGCGGAACGCGGATCGGCTATGGCGGACGGAGGTGGAGGGTGGAAAAAAGACATCAAAACTTATCCACTCGCGAAACAACAAAACCAGGAACTGATTCGGGGTTCAACAGAACGCGGCTGTGACGTTATATCCTGCAGGTACAAACAGGGCATCTGGGAATGTGTTCGGACGTCAGACACAGAATACGACAACTCAAGTTATATACTTTTACCTTCGTCGTGCGTTGAGCGAGCAACCAACGTCGGACGGATATGGATGTGCGACCACCGAACCAGCTATGGTGGAGGGATATCGAGCTAGGAAGAGCGAAGACCGAAGAGCGAAGAGCGAACCGAACACAATGTAGCAACTACGGACGGAGTGAAGAGCGAAGAGTGAGCTTGCTATGGCGGAAGGTGGGGGGGGTTGAAGACCAAATATCAGAACGCGCGCAGAAGCGATAGCACGTCTCTAGAGCACCAACAAAAGGGATAACTCGAGGGCTACAACGCCTTTTATACTTTGCTGCAGCAAGCCTCGCGTCGAGATCAAGGTGGGGCTGAATCGATTCGCATATCGCACCCCTGGGCCCATAATCGATTCGCGTATCGCACCCCTGGGCCCACAAAATGCCAAGGCCTATAAACGGTAAGGGGTACGGGAAATTGTCATCCGTCGATCAACAATTTTCAACCGCTCAGATGAACGGAGCCACTGATATGCAAGTGGCCCCAAAATCTCCATCCACTCCGGCGTGCAATGATGTGACAGTTCCCGAAAACACGGGGAAGGCAATGTCATTTTCGCAGTTCTAATCTGGACCGTCGACCGACATGACCATCGTTGTGCCTGCTATCTCCATTGTTGCACCATGTTTCTCCATCGGTACGCAATCTCTCTCTCTCGCTGCGGCACATCTCCCAATCAGTTCGCGATCTCTTTTCCTTCCTGCGCCATCTACCTTCTTCCCCGGAATATACAACGCACGTTCATTAGAGTTGTCGTTAGACTGAAAGGTGACCCGAATTCAGCTGTAATGACCAGACGTTGTATTCGGGGGAAGACTGTGACTCCATCCATATGCGCCATCTCTCTCAATCGGTGCGCCATCTCTCTCCATGTATTTTCATCGATGCGCTGTCTGGCCATCGCTTCGCAATCTTTCTCCATCTCAAAAAATAGTACGCCATCTTTCCCTATTTCTCTCTTGCGACGATATGTGGCTCGTACTACACGCAAAACAATCCGGAAACAACTTGCACTTGTACCCGCAGTTTCGTAATGGAAATGCTCGTTTACAAGTGCGAATTCAATCGTTCTTGAACCAACCAACTCCTTAATTTGTTATTGTTTAGTCCATAGGTCAGAATTAACTCGCACTTGTACCCCCAGTTTCGTAATGAAAATGCCCATTTGCAAGTGAGAATTTATTCGCTCTTCAACGAACCATCCCCCTTAATTTCTTACTCTTTAGTCCATAAGTCCCAATTTCATAGTTGAAATGCTCGTTTTCAAGTGCGAATTTATTCGCTCTTCAACCAACCATCACCCTAAATTTGTGACTCTTTAGTCCATAAACCCCAGTTTCATAATGGAAATGCTCGTTTGCAAGTGCAAATTTATTCGCTCTTCAACCAACCATCCTCCTCAATTTGTTCCTCTTTAGTCGATAAGTCGTGTCTCTTCTCAGCCCAAAAGAATGAAGTCCTTTTGTATTTGCGAGTTAGCTCGCCACTGAACCAACCACAAAGGCAATTTCTTATTGCACGGCGTAATTGAAATGTTCCTCTAAAGTGCGAATTTTTTGGCACTTGAAATTTCTTGCTGTTTGGTGGATAATACCGAATTGACTCGCACTTGTGTTCGCTCTTGTTCCGACTATGAACTTAATTTCGTACTGTACGTTGTATAAGTCCGAATCAGCTCGCATTTGTACTCTCGCCTGAAAAAGTGCGAGTTACTCGGACATATCCAAACCACTTGCACACTGAACGAGTGGGAGAGGAGTCGGACTTGAGACACCACTTGAGCCTCACATTAGGGTTCGACAAACCGATATGGATTCAAATGTTGTTGTTCCACTGTTTTGTGATAAATATTAGAAATGCGAGTTTGCTCCCTCTTGTTTATTCCCTGACCTTATCATACGTTGACGTGATTTTCTTGTTATACAGTTTCCGTGTGAATCGTCTCTTCAAATGGTTGTCCAATCCGTCCACTGTGTCACGCCACCACCACCGTCACGACAACACGGAGAAGACGATGTTCGAGAACGTAGTTCTTGTGACAGCAACTCGGAAGCTCCCTCTGATCAGCATTGCGGTTTGAGAAGGGAGTTCTTGATGTTGGCCCCGACGAATCATTTAGGCTCGTCTACGACGTCCGCCCAGCGTCGTTTTGTTTTCTTTACCGACGTTACCGATGGTCAGTGCGTATCTACAACGCTCATCCCCGGTAGTGAGGGTGTTCAGGATGTCGAGACGTTTCCCGGTGGGTGGATGTTCGTGAACACAGATTTCTGTGGTGTGTCCGAAACGACTTGATCAGATCTCATGCGGACAACGGGTAGACTGTCTGAAAGCATTGAAGTTCCCCAACCCCTAGCATTTGGCTACAGTCGGTCGTTGGTGGACACAGACTTTTGCGGTAATCCCGATAGAAACGGGCCTGATCGGGAACAGTGCGGTGCATTTGCTACAAACGGGTATGATAGGGACCAAGCAACGGAACGTGCGTGTGAAAGTGCGAAGATAGGTAATAGAATTGCATGTGAAGCCGGAAAAGTTGGTTCTCTGTCGATGACAGCCACGGGTGCAATGGAAACTTGGCAGACTGGTTTTGTAGACACAAATTTCTAAAGTTCATCGGAATCCTCCCAATCTGATTTGCCGAGAACCGATCCCACGGACAGATCAAAATGCGTAGTTGCAGCGCATAGGTTCCCGACCAAAAGTCATCCTGGAACTCCCGAAGTAGTCCTTCAGGTTTTGTCTCATCCCCTACCTGGAGAAAGGAGAATATATAATCGGAAAAATAGGTCAGTTAGAAGGTCAGAGCATTCGAAGAGGGTCAAAAGTCGATTGAATGAAACTAACATTGCGCTCGTCCCGACGCACAAATGTAGTAAGAACAAGTGTCTTCGGGGCTTGACCATTAACAATATCAAACCGGTGCGTGCAGCCTATTACGAAATGTCCCTCAAAAGGAGGATCGAGTGGTGGATGCAAACCCTCGACAATTTCACTATCCTGGACGGCGGTCTGGAAATAGTCCAACCAGTGCAGTGCAAACGCCGTGTGTGCATCGCCGGTTGGTGCAAAATAATAGGGATATGTCGAAACACATTTCGTCGTTATAGCAAGTGCAAGTCGGACAGGGTTGTCCGTGGCCGTCATGGTCGATGGGGATTGTTGAACCCGAGACCGGAGTATGTGAGCATGCTGGCTCATGTGACAATGTTCGTGGAAGAACATGGAGATGCTATGCCTAACGAAATGGTTGTAAGGGGGACCTCACAACAACCTAAAGTTAGGCTCCCTGCTTATTTCACAAAGCTCCTTGTATACGAGTCCATCAAGGCGGACTTGGAAGCGGCAGGTCAGACCGTCGTTTCAGAGCAAGTCTTCTACTCTATATGGAGGAACTACTTGTGGCATGCCGACCTTGCCAAGTGACCAAGTCCAACTCGTTCACCAAGTGTGGCAAGTGCGTCCGCCTTAGACAGGCCACAGATAACATCTTTCTCCTT